TTGAACAGCTCCAGCTGAGCAGGTCCCAAGGACCATGTTGCATGTGCTCTGAAAGGCAGCAGCAGCACAGCACCCGTGGTATTCATGCTGCGCATGGCAGCACCGGGCTGGCTGCTCCTCTGGCTTCTGCCTTATCTTCTCCTTTGCCTCCTTCAAGTCCTAAGCCATGTGCCTCTGCAGATCTGTGAAGCATGCCGGCTTCCTCTCTGGGACACCCACTGCACCGAGGTTGGAGGGAGTAGAACACACGCAGATCCAGTCTGTCTTCAAAGACTTTGGCCACTCATGAATTCCAGTTTGTCCCCACACATTCCAGTCTGCTCTTGCTCTCATCCAAGACCAGCTTTCTACCCCACAGCCATTCCAGTGGACCAATCATGAACTTCAGGCTCAACAAAAGAACCAAAAACAACCAACAACCTTACATAGACCTGACAACCAGCTCCTCCCATGTTTTGTTTTGTTTTGTTTTGTTTTGTTTTGTTGTTTTTTGGTACTGGGGATCGAACTCCGGACCTTGTGCTTGCAAGGCAAGCGGCAGAACCAGAGCTAAATCCCCAGCCCTCTGATGTTTTGTAGGGTCTAAGGCAGCCCTGTCCAATAAAATATCTGTGCTGGGCCGGGGATTTAGCTCAGTGGTTTCACCGCCTGCCTTGCAAGCTCAAGGACCCGAGTTCGATCCCTAGTACCAAAAAAAAAAATCTGTGCTAATTAAAGCAGTGTACACATGAGCTGCCCAGTAGGACAGACACTGTTTCCTATGACTGCTGAGCACTTGAAATGTACCAAGTGCAAGTGAGAAACTAAGCCTTTAATTTTAATTCATTTTAAATTACATGCAGCTAGTAGCTAGTAGCTATGTTGCTAGTAGCTGGTTTATTGGATGACGCAGGCCTACTGCCTAATAATAAACTCTACATTATTTGTCACTCATGGTGGTCCTGTTTCTCAAGTTGAATCCTGACAGCACACGAAGCAGCTGATAATTTCGTGGGAGTGAGCACAGAGACAGAAAGCCAGTATACGAAGAATGACAGGACCAGAGGACAGAAAGAGCCTCAGTTCTGGTAGTGAGTGCCACCAGCACGAAACCTAGAAACTTCTTATGTGAGAAAATCTAGACCTTTGAGCAGTGGACTATCACTGAGGCCTTTCAGTAAATCCTCTCTCTGTGTCTCTTTTTTAATGACTTCTGTTTTTTGCAATGAAGTGGTGTAATCCTTATCTGTAATAACAAGACACAGATGCTATTCTTAGAACTTGACTTGAAAAAAATGTATTTGTGCATGCATAAGAGTTATAAATTATCTTGGAAGAGGCAAATAGCATAAGTAGAACTATGAACAAGGATTAATTGGCTTTCTCCTCCCACAGTTCTCTTTGTCTGCATGTTTATCTTTGCTTTCTTTTGAAGAATGACCTACAGTAAGTCACTTGCTTCCCAAAGTCCTTTCGGTTTATGGATATATAAATGAAAACTGAATTTTAGACTTTAGGTAGTGTATTAATCAGAGTTCTCCAGAAAAACAGAACCAACTGGACATGTTATATGTACAGTACTCATATATATACATATATAGTATATGTGGACCTGGTATATATCTGTATGTGTCCTATATACCCAGCCACATGTCATATAACAATATTTCAGTCAACAATGGACTCCATATAAGATGATGGTCCCACAAAATTATATTGCCTAGTTGGGCCAGGGATTTAGCTCAGTGGTTTTGCCGCCTGCTGTGCAAGTGCAAGGACCTGAGTTCGATCCCAGGTACAAAAAAAAAAAAATTATATTGCCTAGTGACATCATAGCTGTCTTAGTTTACGTAAGTACTCTTATGTGTTTACCCTACCACAAGCCCATCAGTCCTTGCACAGTTCCATGTTAGCTCTGGTCCCATGGACCACACTGCATGAGCTCTGAAAGGCAGTGGCAGAGCAGCACCCATGACATTTATGCACATCAGCATCTCACCACTGTCACTGACCTGCTGGCTCACCTTGCTGTATGCAGCAGCACCCAGGCTGGCAGCTTCTCCAGCTGCTGTCCTATTTTCTCCTTTGCCTTCTTCAAGTCCTGAGCCAAGTGCCTCTGCAGATCTGCAAAGCATGCAGCATCCTCACAACTCTCAGATATATCCCTGACAATAAATGGCATATAACTGTATCCATGTCCACTGGTAAAGTCAGTGATGTAATTTCAAGGGGTCTCAGAGCTAATGACCCAATGGTGTAGATTCCAGTCTGAGAACCAGAAACACTAAGGATTGAAAAAGACCAATGTCCTAGCGCATGTTGGGAATTCCCTTCCTCTACCTTCCTAGTTCTATTCAGACCCTGAAGAGACTGTCTGAAGCCCACCCACATTGAGAGGGGCCACCTGCTTTACTCAATCGACCCAAGTTCACTTCCAGGAGCACCCTGGCAGATCCAACCACAGATATTGCTGGACCAGCTACCTGGACATTCTCTGGCCTAGTCAAATTGACAAAATTAATCCTCACGATGGTGTTCCCCAATACAATGGCCTCACAAACAGGAACTAAAACATTAGCAAAGCATTATGATGAAACTCTAGAATTGAGGGTGTTCATCTGTTTTCTGTTAAGTTCTAGGTTCTTTGTGAACTGAAATAGTGTTGAGTTGCTGACACTAAAATTAAAAACGGGAAGAAGCAGCTTTTAAACTACAAGATAAGAAGAGATGGGTTTACAGGAACAAATCTGATGGTCCCGCTGAGGAACTGGGGATGACAAACTAACCCTTGCAGGCAACATAGAACACAACTGAACTGCTAAACCAGGGATACAGATATAGATGACAGAGATAGGTATAAGTACAGGTATAGGTATAATTTCTGTCTAAATGCTGGAGACGTTGTAAAAAGGCATTTCAATGTTCAGCAGCCCCTCCTCTAGTCACATACCTACCCTACAGGTAAGGCACTACGCAGACTCCATCCTCATCGTATACTACCCTTCATGTACCTGAGAACATGGAAATCCCTGCTCTAGTGTTGGCCCAAGCTCACTTCTAGGGCTTCATGCAGTCATCTTCCCCAGCTCTGTCCACCTAAGGGTCAACTGCATGCTTGGGGTGCATATCCCTGGGTCCAATGGCTTTGGGGAAGGGATGTGTACAGAGCTTGGTCACCAGGGACAAGTTATCCCCACACTCTGTGAAGTCCTCTCACAGCGCTGGACGAAGTCTGAGGTGGAGATTAGGAAGAGAAAAGAGAAAGGGTATGGGTGTGAATCTCAAATTTCACCCTTGCTCCCGTACCCATTAAAAGCAGGGGCCACCCTACCACCAAGTACCCATCCAAAGGAAAGCTGGAGACAAATATATAGGGAAGACTCAACCCCTCTTTGTTATAAAGGAGATTTATGAAAATAGAAAAGTATAAAAACATTTGGAAAATAAGCACAGTGAAAATTTCATGACTCAAACAATCTTTATTTCGTAGTAAAACCACAGTGCAGGAATTGTGTTGTATAGCAGTTTTCCTATTGAGAAACAGTCTGGATTTCTATCAAGCTTCCCCATTGCCTGGGGTTGGATGGGGCAAGGCTGGGGTGGGGGAGTCATCAGCACTGATTGGCAAAGATTGGTGGTGTTACTGACCTGGCAGGTACAGCCTGGAGGAAACTGCAAGGGTCAGGATCCCCTGCCCTGCAAAGTTTGAAGAAGAGATTGCTGCTATGTGGAAGCAAGTCTGCAGGTTGCTCAAGGGATCCAGTACATTATGCTCACCTCAATTTACTGGAAGCACCTCTGCACGCCAGTCCCCAGGCCTGAATCAAGATCAGCTAAAATATTCATGCAGAAGAAGCAGTACCCAGGTGTGACTGAGCAACAGTACCAAGGTGTACTCTGCAGCCGGAAGCCTTTCTTTTCCTCCAACACCATGACTTCTCTCTTCACTTCCTCGTGCAAATCCTTCTAACTCTCAGGGGGCAAAGAGTTCAGATTAAGAAGTGAGTATGAGCTCAAGTGAGTATGACCTTTTCCGGTGTGGTAGTTATCCATATTGTCTGTCAAACCATGTTTTTAGTTTCGCTTTAAGTATCAGCCCATTTCCACACCTCCATTCTTATGACAGCAGCTGATGGGCAACTTTTGGGGTTTTCCCTCCAGCTCCATTCTGAACGTGTCCCCTTATCATCCACTGCCCGGAGTGAGTCTTTCCCATGGTACCTGCATGGTAAACCGAACTTGAAAAGATTAAGGCCTACCTAAACAGGGCATCAACGGTTTTTTACAAGACTGGGCTGGAGGAGAGAAGAATGAAGTACAGCAGTGTTCAAGCTGTGACCACAAACACAATTCTAGACAATTACATGAATAGTTTTTTCCTTTTCCTTTTCTTTTTTTTAAGGTTGCTTCACAAGTGGTTATTCGGTATGGTGTTGACATAGGAAAAGGCGAACTGCTGGAAACCGAGTCAGAGTGGCGTGGCCTGCATGGTTTGGTTCCTTGGATGGGCTGTCCACTTCCTCCCAACCGTTGTCCCGCCCTTCTTGTATCATCTTGGGAATGTCACACACACGCACACGCACGCTCACGTGCACACAGCACGGTGGTCTCACTACAAACTGTCCTGGTGTTTGTTATTCCCTGTCACTCACATCTCACAGGACTGGCTCCTCTAACCTCTCCGTGGTGTGGTGACTTGCTTTCCTTTCCTGTGGCCCGCCGGGGTCTTCAGTGCGTTCAGAAGCGCCCCGCACCCCTCCCAGCCCTCGGCGGACATCCGACGGCCCTGGGCCGGCTCCTGGCTGCGCACTCCCGCCGCCCGCTGCTCAGCCCCTCTGGCATCCGGGATCCCGCGGGCGCGCCCAGTACCTGCGCAGCCTCCGCGTCCCGCCGGCCCCAGCTCACCGCGCGGGCTCTGGCGGGTGCCGAGGCCCCTCCCAGGTCCGCCCCAGGGCGGTGCAGGGCGGTGCGGTGCGGGGGCGGGGCGGCCACGTCCCGGGCTGGAGGTCAGGGCCGGCGCGGGCCAGGCGGGCGCAGGCGCCTCGAGGGCGACCGGATGCGGCCCCGCACGGCCACTGCGCGCTTGGCGGGGACCTGGAGCGCCGCTGCCCGAGTGCGTGCGGAGGCTGGACGGGTCTGTGGCTTTGTGGCTTTCGGCTCCCGCCCCCCCCCCGGGCCTCGGGGCCCCCAGGGCTCTCAGACCCTAGTCTTCCCAGGTGCGAGCCGGGGCCGGAGGGCGCGCCCGTCCCGCACGCAGCGCGCCATGGGCAATGCCTCCAATGCGTCCGGGCCCGGGGACTGTGAGAGGCGACAGTGGCTCCCGGCGGCGGGCGAGAGCCCGGCCATTAGCGCAGCGATGTTCTCGGCGGGGGTGCTGGGGAACCTCCTCGCGCTGGGGCTGCTGGCTCGCCGCGGGCGAGGGGACGCGGGGCGCGGCGCGGGCGGCCGCGGCGCCGTGTCCTTGTTCCACGTGCTGGTGACCGAGCTGGTGTTCACCGACCTGCTCGGGACCTGCCTCATCAGCCCGGTGGTGCTGGCTTCGTACGCGCGGAACCGGACGCTGGTGGCCCTGTGGCCCGACAGCCGCGCGTGCACCTACTTCGCCTTCACCATGACCTTCTTCAGCCTGGCCACGATGCTCATGCTCCTCGCCATGGCCCTGGAGCGCTACTTCGCCATTGGGCACCCCTACTTCTACCAGCGCCGCTTCTCGCGCCGCGCGGGCCTGGCCGTGCTCCCCGCCATCTATGCCGGGTCGCTGGTGCTCTGCTCTTTGCCGTTGCTCGGGTACGGGCAGTACGTCCAGTACTGCCCCGGGACGTGGTGCTTCATACGCCACGGGCGCACGGCTTACCTGCAGCTCTACGCCACCATCCTGCTGCTGCTCATCGTGGCGGTGCTCGCCTGCAACTTCAGCGTCATCCTCAACCTCGTCCGCATGCACCGCCGAGGCCGGAGGAGCCGCTGCGGACCCTCGTCCTGGAGCGGCGGCCCGGGGCCCCGCAGGAGAGCTGAGCGGCTGTCCGTGGCGGAGGAGGCCGACCACCTCATCCTCCTGGCCATCATGACCATCACCTTCGCCGTCTGCTCCCTGCCCTTCACGGTGAGTCAATCAGTCCTTCCCTGGTTTCTGGGCAGCTTTCTCTGTTCTTCTTTCACCCCAGCGCTTCCTGCTGCCCTGCAAACTTTTTGCAACTGAAAAAGTATGTCCTAATTTTAATGCTCGGTCTGTAGCCTTGCCCTCTCACTTCTTGCCTTCACCCCACTTCCTTCCTCCCGTGGCACATGGCCGTCGCTAAGCTAGTGATTCTTATAGTGATTCTCTCTATGGTACCTCAAAAGGGAGCCTTGTTCCTTTTCGAGGCCCGCCCAGCCCCCATCCTAGAGTCACAAGCCCTTGTCCACCGTCCCTGTCCACTCTGGCCAGCTTGTCCAGGAACCTCGGGAGGAGGTGGCCTGTGCCACCTCAGGATGGTTGTCGTTGTTATAATGTGGCCACCCTGAGCCACAGTTTGCGGCTATACTTCCAACCCATTGGGGTTGGTTCTCCACGCTCTGCCTTCTGCTCCTCCCGCAAAAAATGTTCCCGACCCAATAGCATTCCATCTGCCATTGAAAATGCACCCAAATTCAGGGGCTCCTTGCGGTAGAAGTTCAGAATGGTCATTATTTGCCTCTAAAGTTCAAGCATCTAGTTTACAGTTTCCCATTTTACACATTTGAGTGTAACTGTTTGTGGCCATGGAAATCCTGACGCCTCCATCATGATGAAGGGAGGGAATGACAGATGGAGGAACCCCCTGTAAGCTTCAGTCCCTCCATAGGAGGATTTGTAAACTCTTAGGAAATATCCTCTGATGTCCGGGTCAGGAATACACACAGGTGTGCTTCCTTTTATGGTTGTGCACTTTATGAGCTCAAAGCTCCACACAGAACCGCTGGTCCGTCTCAGGGAAGGGAGAACTGAAGGGCATTGGTTGCTGCCCCCTGGGCAACCTGCTCAGGCAGTTCTCCTATGCCGAGTTCAAAACTCCCAAAGGCTCAGCACAGCCTGAGGTGTCCAAGCCTGTTCTAGCCTCTAGCAGAAAGCTGGAAACTGGAAGTTTTTAAAGAAAGACAAGATGCCTGGCCTTCATAGGTCCTACTTGCAGAAGCTGGGGAAATAACTTTATCCTGGCCTCCTGTTTCCTTCTGGTTACCTTCATTGGCTCATCCTCAGGTGGGAAAGGAACCCATGGTCCTAAAGTCCAGATATGATCCCACCTCAGCTCTGTTCTCTTTGCCCTGGTCCCCACTGTCCCCTCATTTCTGCCCCATCTTCTATCAGGGCAGGAACTGACCTGAATCTGTAAGTTCCACTGAGTGGGGAATGAGAGGGAGTTTATCAAAGGTACCCGCTTAAGTAATAGAGTAGGACCGTGTGGGAGGTGGCACCTTCATTCCACCCTGAGCAGGAGTCTGTGCTAGAGAAACATGATGTAGAAACCAACAGGGCTTCTATGCTTTTGTTTTACAGTAGGACCTTTTAATTATGTTAGGGGCCAAGTCAGTTTTGGGGGTTGGGATTAGGATGGAGAACATTGTGTATGAAAGAAAGTGTTTCAAGTTCCTTGAAACAACAGAATCCAACTGGAGGGACATAAACACATCCGAATAGGGGAGTGCCTGTCAAGCTGGTAGGAACTAGGATGTCAGCTCCTGGAATATTATCTGCCACTTATGAATGTATGTATGAAAACATCCCCCACCTCCAGCTATGTAAATGGCTTGGAAATGGGCTCAACCATGACCACACTCTTGTAAAAAGGACGGTTACTCCCTTTCATATGCCATTTAAAGGAGGCAGGCAGAAAGAAAAAAGTCTCCCTTGACCATGACTGGCCCACTACATAAACCAAATTCTTACAAATACAGGCAGTGACTTTTAACAGGTTCCCATGGTTTCCTGTAAATACTGCCTTTATTGTGAGGACTCCATCATTGCCATATGTTGGTTTTTAAATATATATTTTTTGATACATTAGGCCCTCATGCTTTGAAGCTGTGAGTGCCTATTTATTACTTAGAGTCCCTATTTATGCTGTGGGGGGCTCGATGAAGTTTATGAAGTTTAGCACTGCTAAACCACCCTTTAAAATTGACACTACCAGCAAAATACTTTCAGTGTTTGCATCTCTGTGTGTTCATTGCAAAGATTCCCAGAGAACAAGAGAAAATCCTCATATGAACGAAATCAGGAAGCCAGCCAAGCTGACTTCTTATCTTGCAATTACCATGACATCACAGCCAGATGAACTATAGATAATCCAGCAGGCCCAAAAGAGAAAGTTGAAATCATCTCTTAATAAGGAAATCTGCATTGGCCATCAACTCATTTTATTTTGTCAATAAATTGTTGGTAATAATTGTTGTTATTTTTCCCTTGCATAGCCCTTTACAGTTTAGAAAGCACTGCAGTACTGTTTATTTCCTGAGGGATAATTCGACCATTCACAATGTATGACTACTGTTCAATTCATACAGTCTTCTATTTTAGAATGCTTGGCATTTGCCCCAAAGGGTGCTTTTACTCCCACGTCCTTTTTTTCTCCTTGACCCAAACTAAAATTGTGGTCAGAAATGGTCTACACCAATCCCCCCCGACACCAGGGAGGAATCATTTGCATGTGTCCTAACCAGGGGCACTGTAAGACAGGCAAAGGCTTATGATTGACTTCAGAAATTCTCCTGTGTCTCCAACACAGTGCCCATAGTCCAACAGAAATACAATGTGAGATGCCAGTGAAATTTTAAATTTTTCTAGAAGCCACATAACAAAAGTAAAAAGAAATAGATGAAACTAATTACATGTTTTAGTCAACCCAGTTTACAATATACCAATTCAAATAAGTTATCCATGTAGAACTACTTGAGATATTCCAACTAATTTTCTTCCTTACATCCCAGAAAATACAGAAAATAGGAGTAATGTACCCTGTCTGTCCACTCCTTCCCCAGAATAATAGGCACTGCTGTCTGTGTCCATCAAAAGTGGACCAAACCACTGACCAGCAAGGGGGAGTGTGTACATCTGTACCCAGTGGGGACACCAGTCTATTCTACAGCACCCTAGCATTGGAGGAGACTGGGAGATTTAGGGAACCTAGAACTACTAATGTCAGCCATTGCCCTGGGGTATGGACAGAATGGAATTACTACTTCCATGAGGGCCTGCAAAGTTTGGGAAGTAAAACTCTCAAAATGAAAAAAAAATTCCCTGAAATGCAGTCGTTTAACCTCTTGTATCATTTTTATCAATGCCAAAAAAAAAGACTAAAGATTTTTGAGCGCAAATTTTATAGCAACTCATTATCTTCACAACAATCTATAAAATAATGATTTCAAAACAGTCTATAAAGTGTGATTCCTATTGTACAGATGAGACAAAATAACCTCCCCTAGGTCCCACAGCTGGTGCTGGTGGGGCTGGGATTTAAAGCCTGGCAGTGGAAGCGCTGAGACCGTGCACTAACTATGGTGCTATCAAAGAGAGGGTTCTTGTTTCAAGGTATGAGAAGAGGAATCCAGAGTTTCATGAGAAAATTATGAAGACATTAGAAATATTTGGGGGGTGGGAGTGTAGCTCAGTGGTAGAGGGCTTGCCTAGCATGCACAGGATCCCCATCACAACAATAAATAAATAAATGACTTTCCCTTTTAATTCTGATTTGTTAGTTTTAAAACTAAAATGGCAACGACCTTTTTCTCCTGGTTAGCTCAGAGAGCTAAGCTGGGTCAAAGTATGGAGTTTCATTGTTGTTCACAGACCTATAAAATAAAAGTCTGAGACTGAGATTATAAGAGATTGGCTAATGTAAATGGTGATCTAAATTAAATAATCAGAGTATCCTTCACATAAAATCTTCCATTGGTGCACATAAAACATTTCTTTAGTGATTAAAAAAAAGCATGTAGTGTTTGGGAAAAGACATTATTTTGGCTGTCTGATATGAAATCATGCGTGAGACCAACAACATATTCTAAACTGTTTATCCACTAAAGGAGTTTTGTATAAATCAATAAAATCCTCCTTATGTTAATCAGCTGTTGACAACATTTCACAGTGACAAATAGAAACTTTCTTTTCTTCCTGAGATGGAACAGAGCACAGGAAACATATGAGACCTCCATTCCTGTCTCAAATACTGTTTATTTCTTAATTCCAACCCATATCAAACCATTTTCTCACCACTTTCCTAATTGTGGATGGTTTCTGGTCATCTTAAACTGTTTTCCACATGCCATTAGGATAAAGTGCTCCTGTCTTTTATTCAGTTCTAAAATTTCAGAAAGGAACCACTGACTCATTCTAAAAATGTCATCTTTACAAATTCTTTAGGATTGTAATTTCTAAGTAAATCTGATTAGTGGAAATCTGATCTTTGCAGTACAGAATAAATGCACATAAACAACACTAGAGTTTCCTGTTCATTCTAGGTATTTATGTAAAATGTAATATGAAGGGAGGTTGAAAAGCTGATCCTAAGTTGGCTGATTACATACATGCAGAATACAACAATTCAGACAGAAATAAAAAATTCAGAAATATCTGTGCATAACGACTATGAGCTTTGCCTGGTGATATTTTAAGTGAATGCCCGTGAACAACTAACTGGAAGGCCCTTTATCATTCAGGCATCATTAAGGATGTGTGTAGGGATTGTTGAGACAGTTGTGGATACACATTACCTTTTAAGAGAAAGTTCCTCTATATGATTATTTTCACTTGACATCCTTGCCTTTGCCATTTGACACTATGCAGTGGGGATTGTAAATAAAGGCACGATTAAAATTTAGATAGCAAGAACCATAGTCCTTTTTCCAAAAGAGAATTGGGTTTATCCCTTGGTCAAGCATATTCTCATTGCTATTTCAGATAGTTCAGGGCAGGTACTTGGCTTACAGAAAAAACCTTTTGACATGATATATTCTTTGGCATGTCAAAAGTCAGTCATAGTGTTTTTTAAAAGGGAATAAATATGGTTAGACACAGTGTTTCAAGAATGTCATCAGCAGATGTCTTTCCAGCTAGAGCTGTAAGACCCAGTTAGCCTGCAGCTCGGTCTCCTCGCCTGACTTGTGTCCTCTTTCCAAGGTCTGACCACCACTCCCCCCGGATCTTGAGCTCAGGTCTGCTGCATCCCAACTCATATCAGCAAGGTATATAAACCTCCATTTCTCTCTCTGTATTTTGCTGCCTAAAATGGCCCCTAACCAAAACCAGACTCATTATCCTGAAATTGGGACATATGTGTGATGGGAAAGGCCACGGAGAGGGAAGACTTCATGTCAGGAAAGCTGAAACTCCTCTGGAACAGAGTTCTTAACTCCTGCTCCATGGACAGCACATGGATGTCTCCAAAATCAGTTGCAAAATCCTGTGATACAGAAGTCCCAGGTAGATAGTGCCCACCGTGTTCTCTAGTGAGTAAGAGCCACCATCCTGTAATACAGTGTATAGGCCCAGAGCTCCTATCTCAGCATTCGATCTGCCTTTCCATTCTAAGACGCACCTGGCAATGGTCGCGCTCGTCCCAGACCCAGCTCCATGCTCCAGTTTCTCCTTCTGATGGAAAATGAGCTCCATCCTCCCTGCACCACAAACCATGTGTGATGTGAAGGAAGGGAGTTCTTTAAAGCGTTGTACACCTGGAAAATTAGCTTCCACTCAAAAAAATATTTTGTAAAGAACTAATTGTCCCAAACTGCTAATCCAGGACACCCTACTGTCTTCCAGAAGGCAGGTAAATGCAATAACAAGCAATGCCTTCAGCTCAGCTATGGATAATAATGGAGGAAAAGGAGCTCCCAAGAAAGCCAAACAGCTACTTGGAAAGAGACATAGTCTTTCAATCTATAAACAGGAATAGTGATAGGGAAAAGCCATCGTGATGCCTTAGAAGGGAAGTCTTCTACAAACCCATAATTCTGCCAGTCATTTGTGAGTTTCACATGGAACTTTATACCAGAAGCTCTTTATATAGTTGGGAGTAGCATGTGCAGTGGCCAAAAGAGAAATTTGGTTTCCAGCTGCTTCAGTTTGACTTCATGGTTTCCCGACTGGCTTGGAATGTGATCTTGGTTTCTTCTTCTCTAAAATGGGAATAATAACACTTTGTAGGCTTGTCTAAAGATTAAACAAAATAAGACTTTGAAGTTGCTCAGCACCATGTCAAGTCCAGTGATGTTTATTGAGTGTTAGCTGCTATCTCCGTGGGATTAAATTTCCAAAAGTAAATCAGATTATAGAGTAATGATCAGGAATTGATTCTAGAAGCTCATCATTTTGATTGACCAGGCCCAAGTGGGTCTTTTGTTTTCTAAGTGAGATAAATGAATATTTGAAAGCATTTCAGGTTTTAGGTAAAATTCTAAAGCTGTGTTTCTCAACCTTGGTGGGTGCCAGCACCACAGCAGATGGATGATCAGAAGGATGTGAAAGCCCCAAAGCCTTGTCTTAGCCCAGACTAAGTCCAAGTCTCTGAGGAAGGGAGCAGAGTGAGGCATCAGAATATTTTACGGCTCCCTGGATGATTTCAATGCCCAGTCAAATAGCATCTTCATTTACTCTATAAATTTCTGAGCCCACTTCATAACAGCATTAAGGATAGGAAAGTAGTTTAAATAAACAGCCCCCAGGCAGTGCTCAGATGAAGCATTCCATGGGAAGCTGCTTTGGACATCCTTAAAGTAGTGCTAATTCTCACCTGTGCGGCTTGGTGACCATCCCAAGCTCTGTGCTCTTTGAGAGCCCTGTAGAGAGGGCCTGCCTTAAAAATTTCCAATTCACTAGACTCCTTTCTGTGAGTTCTTGGTACCTTTCTCATGGCGAATGCATTCATGTATACACACAAAGCACACAGATTCCACCAGACTCAAAATCTGAATTCCAGAATTTCATCAACAAGGCATTCATTCATCACCCGTGTCCCGTGCATCAGCCTCTCGTTCCAAACCCAGGACCAGCTAAACTCAGAGGGAGAGGGGGACGAGCAGCTGTTGAGTCACACTTTGGGTACAGATGGTGGTGATGCTTGCTGTTCTGTGTTCTTTTGTGTTACAGTCAGGCAAGTGCGTTTACAAGAGGGGGCATGGGAGAGGCTCAGGACAACAAGGCAGGGGCACCGTGCAGGGCCACGTAGGAAAGCACAGCATCAGGCAGGCAGAAGAAGAGGCTAGAGGAAGGGGAGAGCCTGGGCCTCAGCCCTCATTGGTGTGGAAAGACAGCGGGGCGGAGAGGTTAGGATTGGCTACTGGGAATAACCTCAGCAGGTTCTAAGCAATTCGGTCTCTAGTTGCAGGTCCTGTCCCTGAGATGATTAAGGTGGAAGAATATTGCCTTCTGGGTGTATGGGATGTATTTCTAGGTTGGTTAGTACTGCTGTGTATCAAGACACTCTACAACCGAGTCCTCAGCTGCCTCAAAGAATCAGCCAGCCCAAGGAAGGGCAGTCTCTCCCCAGCCAGGAAAATTTTTCATCCATCAAAACATCATTATAAACAGAAAAAATTTAAATATAAATAATACGGTTTGACAGTAACAGGAATGTACTTAGTGCCACTGAATTGGACACCTGAGAATAGCTAAAATGATAAACTGGATGTATGATGTGTATATTTTAGCACAGTTGAAAAACAAACCCGAGATGTACAAGATCAAGTGTTAAACTCAAGACAAAAAACAAGAGCCAAAGAGGGAAATGGGGAGGTAGAAGACAAAGCTTACATCAAGAACTTCCAGGATCACTGAAGTGTGTCTCTTTTCCAAGTGTAAAAGAAGAAATTGTCTTCCAAAACCATTGGCCACCTCCTGAAATGCATATTTTAAGCAATTCTAAAAATTACCCTTTGTAGTGGATGAAAAGGAAAGGAAACAGTACAGAATTGCTTCATCCTCTCAAACCATCTTTCACTTCTCATTACTCTGTCATGCTCTAATGTGATCAGGAATTGTAGGGAAGGCTCTTCACCAAAAACCTGACTCATCTTCGCGGTGGAAGCTACGACAGCAGAGTGCTGAGCCTTGCCCTAGTCTTGGCTGGCAGCTCTGTGTTAGCATGTTCTCCGTCTAAACTAAATCACAAAGTCACGGCAGATTTCTTTTCTATAATAAAGTACTCATTTATGAGTATACACATGTGTGTATGTACTGATTCATATTTTTTAATCCAGAAGACTTATATACACCATTGTCCTGAATTTCTAACCTCCAGAATCACCTCTTTGATACGCTGTACTGTGTATTTCACATCCAAAGTAGTTCAATTGACAAGAAAACTACTGCTCCGTTGCATATCCCTGCCTAACGTTTTTTTCTCTGTGATCTGGGAAACCCACTATCAATTCTTCTTTTTCCTTGCTCTTTTGCCAAATCTTTTCTCCATTCCCTATGCCAAGATTCTCTGGCATAAACACCTCTGGCTGCCAAACCTTCTGCTATTATCCTAACATAAGCAACCCAAAGATGACTGCTCTTTCTTCCCCCTGCAATCGCCTTGGTATGTCCAGTTCTCAGATGCCAGCAGAGTAAGTACCAGGGGAAAGAAAATGAACTATTCCTTCTTTTATTGGGGAGAGAGGGGCCGGCTTCCTAAGTCAGAGCCTGTCACTGGTCAGTGAGTCCCTGAAACATAACAACTAGGTCTGATCCACATTTGTTTTCCTCTGTTTTATAAACTCTGTGGAAGTGTTCAATCTCTATCAAGTTGTCCTGTTCTGTTCCATCCAATCTGATCAAACACTGATACCAGTGTGGAGATGTGTCCGTTCTCCAGTGCTTAGGACTGGGAATCTCCGCTCTCATACAGGCCTGGGTGTTGCGCACAGTGAGCACTGCATGGGCAGCAGGAGAGCTGGAATTTGTGTCCTCCCTGGGCCACTAGACCGCCCTGGATACTCAGGAAGGTCACTAACTTTTCTGCACCTCGGTGATCTCATGGCTGAAGTGGACACAATAGCAGCTAACATTGTGGAGTGCAGCCAGCATATCTTCCTGTCGTCCTCCCAGCATCCCTGCAAAGTAGGTATTGTTATTATCACTGTTTCACAGATGTGGAAACGGAGGCACAAAGAGTAGTTTTCTTATCTGTGAGGCCAAAGCTATATCCAGAGCTATGATTCAAAGTGAAGCAGCCCGGTAGCCAGAACCCATGTTCCCACTGATGGTAATCTGCTACTTGCCCTGTCTTGCTTAACTGTGACTAATAAAGCAGGTCTGGTATTTGGAAAAAGGTGTCACATGTATTATCAACATTCCTGAAGATCACTTCCTTGTCCGTAAAAAGGAGACAATACTTAAGCTTCAGAGATTTTGTAAGGACTATTAAGAAAGCAGTTTTAGTAGCCAGTACAATTCATGACACATATATTAGGATATTGATAAATACACACTAGTAATATTATTATTACTATTGATACTATTAAAAGATTTTATTCTAGGTGTCAAGAAAAAGTTATTGATTCCCCTCCATTTCCAATGCCAAGACAGTTGTGCATGATGTCAGTGTTAATTATAATCCACAGAAAACATGCTTCCATTGAGTTCAAGGGAAAAAATACATTCATTATGTTATAATTCATGTATGGAAGAAGGATGAGATTTGGCTACCCACCCACTGGAGCACCGCTGCCAAACAAAAAACATGGTTAGATTTCAGGAACTAGCATAGGACGTAAGCCTGTCCATTGCTACAGTGTAAACTAACATCGTTTTTCCCCTTTGCTTTTTCAGATCTTTGCATATATGAATGAAACCTCTTCCCGAAAGAAAAAGTGGGACCTCCAAGCTCTTAGATTTTTATCAATTAATTCAATAATTGACCCTTGGGTCTTTGTCATCCTCAGGCCTTCTGTTCTAAGACTCATGCGTTCCGTCCTGTGTTGTCAGACTCCATTAAGGACACAAGAAGCAATACAAACTTCCTGTTCTACGAAGTCCAATGCCAGTAAGCAGGCTGACCTTTGTGGACAGTTATGAGGATGCACTTTGCTATGCAGCATCCAGGAGATCCTTTGGAAATGGCTCCTTGGAGAAATGTAAAAGGCTAGCATATAAACTGAACGAAACTACCCTAATAAAAGAGTGGTTTGGGTTACAGGCCTGCTGACAGGATACTTCACGGAAGGTGTCAGAGACATCTACAAAATCTCCCCTCACTGAGCACTTTACATGGTGTGATCCAGCGGCCTTTTGATGTAAGCTTTCCTGTTGAATGACAAAGCAGATGGTGTGTAGTTTGTTTAACACCCTCCGGAGTTACTGTTTTTCCTATGTTAAATGTCTATGCTACTGCTATTATAAACAGACCAAGTGAAACTTCATGTGTTTTCTCTAGGAGATCAACATGCAAAAGCAACCAACACAAACAAAAGCTGCTGTGTTGTAATTGCTTAAGGGACCCTTTGTTTAGACAGTGATGTCAAAAGTCATCAGCACCTTTTACCTTAACGTTTGTAGCTGTGGGAGCACTCAGGTCTCTGTAGCATTACTCTTACCAGGACAGACTCCATTGGTTAGTATCAGCTTGTTACACCCGCCCTTTAGGAACTCTGTGTCCAGTTGTCCAATTATTTATTTCCTACTATCTGCTGTACTGATATTAATCAAGAAGACTGTAGAAATTTTCTTCTCAAAGAGAAATAATAAAAAGGTTGTTAAGACAGTTAATTCTGATTAATACTCTTCATTCTGTTTCTAGGGGAGGATGTATATTGGTATTTGAAGCTATTAGGATCAAACATGGAAAAATTTAGTCCATACTTCATGTATCCTGGAGGTCTTTTGAGTTGATATTAAGGCTATGACTAAAATACACTTTTTAAGGTGACTGTTACAAACAAAATTCATCTGTCTGTGTTTTTATTTATGGAACATGGTTTGACTCATACAATATAAGAAATCATGTAACAGTGAGTCATATCTTAATATATTCTAAATGTTTGGCATAGTGTACACTCAGCATCAAAATATTTCGGCAAATTTACACAGTTTAATCATAGTGATTGTATAAACTCAAGTGAAATGTTGCAAAAGGAAACCCTAAAGCAAAGTTTAAAAATGGAATATTTGATGAACTCCTCCAAATAATGTTTTACAATTTTAAACGAGATAAGAGTGGAAATGTTAGATGTAATGCGGCCAGCGTTTTGGTTTTGGTTTTGGTTTTAGTTTGTTTTGTTGGCAGCGGTAGGATGAACCTAGGGCCTAACACCTGCTAAACAAGAACTCTGCTGCTGAGCCGCCCTCCTACCCCCAATTTGGCAGGTTTTTAAAGTGTGACTGCATCAAAAATTAGAGTATAAAATATTCAGTATAGTACTTGGTATTGAAAGTTTTTCTATCAGTTTTCAGTCTTCCAGCATGATCTTTAAAATAGTGCAGAGTGCTATTATGAGTGTTATTTTAAAAAGAGGATGTTAGTGTTTTCCAAAGTCTCACTGAATTATTTACTCAAAACTATTTCCTATAATTAGTTATCAAACTAGATGATCGCTTAGCATGATTCCAAACCAATCCAGATATCATGGTATTTTGTCACAAGTAATCTATGTCAAATCAGCACTTATTTTAGAAAGAGTAAATAAATGATCTGCATTTGTCTAAATTTAAACAATCCAGGCAAAATTTAACTTAACTAAAATCTAGACAGAAAAATAAATCTTCCCTGTCTACCAGGCATTCTAACATTAAAAAATTATTCTAAACAGCACTAATTAGGCCCATGGGTAAGTCCTAAACATAAAATTCTGAAGTTACTTTGAATCTGGAAGATTGATTCCTTCTATCAGATGACTTTTAAAATCTCAGAATGAAAATGTTAACTACAATCCTTCACCCCACCTCACTGCCCCCAAAATTCTAGAAGAATGTCTGAGAATTTAAAAAGACTGGACATAATATCACCAGAAGGAACAAGATTTACCATGGGAGCCTAAAACAGAAGACTTTTTAAGTCATTTAATTAAGAACTAGTAGATTTCTAGAACTTGTTTCCTCGTGTGTTCTAGTACCTTTCAGTATGTTCAGTAATGAAAACCTATTATTTCATTTGCACCAATATATGCATAGAAGAAACTGAAAGTAAAAATCCTATGTAATAGTCCATCGCTTACATTAATGGCACTTTAAAGGTAACTTAGGTGAAATATATAAAAATTTCCTTTATAAAAATCCTATCACATCAGCTATATCTGCTAAGATTATTGATTTCAAGGTAAATAAGAGAAACAGTGCTTACTCTAATACATTAGAGAAGTATGCTGTGATACAAGAAGACCTAGGGCTGAGGATTTAGCTCAGTGGTTCTGCCTCCTGCCTCATGCCTCACAAGCACAAGGTCCCGAGTTTGATCCCTGGTACCAAAAAAACGAAGACCTAGATTTTATTCTTTGCCTCCAACAGTCAATAGGATTCAAAAAGAGAGAAAACTATAGTGAATTATCACCTGAGAATGCCAGCCTTCATTTGAGGCACCCCAGATGGACCCCAGATGTCCATTCCAAGCTCAGTTGTTCCTAGGTGGCTCGTTATGGCCCTAGTCATCTTTTCCAAGAAAGAATTGGGATAGTCTGGCACTAAATTGTGGCCTTGAATCTCCAAAGATCTGAAAGGAAAGAGGGTTTGCTTAAAAGCTGTAGAAAACCTGCAGAAGGCCTGACTGCCAGTGTCCTGGGCCCGTGGCAGCCTAGAGCCTGACCAAAGCTGTAGAAACAGCACTGCCTGTCCCCAGACCTCCATGTGGCAGAGGCCGATGGGGAGGCCAAGTCACGTCCACATCCCTACATTCTCCGCATAATTCTGCTCCGCTTTGGGCCTCCCCAGCTGCGATGTCAGTGCACTTTGGAGGAGGGCCTCGTGTCAAGTCGCCTCTGATTTGAACTAAGAGAGAAACAACACAGGCTGGTTTAGAGTTTGATGACTTTGAAAGGCAGAGGAAGACAATTAGCTCTCACTTAAGCCAAGGTTTGTTTATTTCACTTAGCTTAAGCCAAATCTAATGGTTTTCCGAATTTAGGGAGGGCCTGTACTTGAGCCATTCACAGAGAGATACATTCCTCTCTCCAAATGCAGGGTTTTCTCCACTCTGGCTTTACAAGGCCTCCTCTTTCAGGCAGAGTTGCTGCTTGGGTATTGATGGCCACGCTGCCTTTATCCGTCTCCATTGCATTTCCTTGCCGAATGCACTTAGACTTTCAATCACCTGACTGCAGTACAATTGATTTTTTAAAAATTGACCACACATTTTGATCACCTGAAATACACACTGTGGAAGGAAGTATTTTCGCAGTTCACAAAAGCTACAGTCTACTTGGTACATGGATTGCGGATGTGTACTGGGCACCACTGTTTTCAGAAAGTTACTCTTTTTTTTTCCCACTAGTGTTTGTGATTTTTAAAACTTGTAAATGAATTTTCTTGAATTATATATTTTTATTTCCTGTAAAATTATGTATTATTAAAGGCCAATTTTAGTGGTTTAATTCTGTATTTCATTTTTAGAAATCAACAAAGTCAAGTACATCAATGAGGAGTCTAGGGGTAAGGCAATCAAAACAAAAGGTGATGGGGGAGCCCCTAGAGGCTGTTACCCCTCCTTAGCTTGAAGGGACAGGGAGGGAGCAGTAACTGGAAACTGGGAGATGCCATCCAACTGAGCCCGACCGACCTGGGCTGCGGCCTTGAGCAGGGAAACAGCCTTGGGTAACCAGGAGGAGGCAGGCTTAGGGGAGCGGGCTCCTGAAGGATCCCTCCTCTTTCCCTGGTCCTTGCCCCTGCTCCCCCTTATCCAAACCCAAGTGAAATCCAGGGCATGAGAGCCACTTGGCTGCTGCAGTCCCTCTGGCAGAGAGCACAGACAGGCAGGGGCTAGATCTAGAGGGGAAATGAGGACTATCCAGCATGAGTAGATGGAAAATACGTGGTTTTTTTCTTTTTAATTGCACCATTACAAAATTGAGACAGCAAATTCAGCAGCCTGTCCTTTGACCTTCCACTCCAGATAGACGTCCTCTAGCCGTAGGGAATGCAATCAGCCCCGTCTTTTTTTTTTTTATTAAGTTAATTGGTATTATTTAGGTACACATAATGATCACATTCATCATATGGAATTTGTACCTGTACATGATACATCTTAATTCTTATTTTTTCCCATTCCCCTCCCTTCAACCCTTTTTCCTCTCCTTATTTACAAATGGTTTCTTTCTATTTTTTCTTTTCTTGTTTTTTCCCCTTTTCCCTTCCTTTCCTCCCCCCTCCTCTTTAGTGCTCCTTCCCATTTGAATATTTTCTTCCTATCTCACATTATCTATTATACATTTTGGTCCTTTTTTATACTTTCAGTTTCTCTCACCAGAGAAACAATGCAATATTTACACATGTGTGTGATTTATTTCACTTAAGAGTATGGTCTCAAGGTGCATCCATTTACCTAGAAATAGGTAATCTCCCGTTTATCCTTCTTTATGGGTGAGTAGTACTCCATTATATTTTTTTAAAAAGTTTCTTTATCCATTCCTGTTAATGGGCATTTGGGCTCTCTCCAAGCTTTAGCTATTACAAACTGTGCTGCTGTAAACATGGGTGTGCATATATCACTGTGGTATGATGCTTTTCCCATCTTTATAGAAAGAGATAAAGTACTATAGATCCCATTACCAAAACAGGTGCCCTAGACCTTGCTCTCTGAGGCTCAGTGTTTGATTCTGGAGCTAGATTACGCAGTTAGGAAAGAGAAAGATCAGATTGGAGTACCTTTGTGTCTTCCTTGCCCACAGCAGTACAACATGGTAGCCCCTACCCCCTTCTCCTCTTCGTGTCACTGGGAATCGAACCCAGGGCCTTGCGCATGCTAGGCAAGCTCTCTTCCACTGAGCTACATCCCCAGCCCCACAGTAACCATTCTTAAGCAAAACAAGGGCAGAGAGTCAGGGGGTAGTGTTTTAATCAGTGGTAGAGCTCTTGCCCGTGCACACATAGAGCCATGCTCAATCCCAAAGGAAAACGAGAGAGGCAGAGAAGCACACTTGTTTAGAAATAAACTGAATCCTTATTTTTAAGAAAGACCACTGAAGCCTGAAAAACTTCACTGCATTGAAGGCAATCCCCAAACTCACCATAAACTGAGTTGGTTCTCCACGGCAGTCACAAAGAAAGACTATAGGAAGCAATTCTACAGCCTAACACCAATAAAAATATCACGGAAAATCAAATTTTAACAAAATGGAAAGACTGGATGAAGTACAGTTCCCATGGCCATCTGCCACTCTGGTCTTTTCTCCTACCACAGTCTTTGTCTTTCTTCCTTTATCCACCTCCCTTCATCCCCTTCTTGGGCACACTTGTCCTAGCAGGGCACACTTTCCCGTGTCCTCTCCCCACACCACCACTGCCTCCTGTCTCTGTTGCTGCACACACTCAACCAGCAAACTTCACATTTACCTGGGGGATGGTTAAGACTTGTCAGACTGCTGAGGTTTTCTAGGACAAGCTATTTCGCCTCTTGGAGTCCCCTTTTCCTCATCTCTAAAATGAGGACAATAACATTATTCACTTCCTCAATTATTTTGAATATTGAAGACACAGCACAGTGTCAGGACATGGTAAACGCTAATAAGGTTAGAGATGAACATCTTGGATGCCCAGTCGGTGGCCCTGGGACAGATATCTCC